AAACACTATTTCACTAGGAGGGTGGTGAAGCACTGGAATGGGTTCCCTAGGGAGGTGGTGGAGTCTCCTTCCTTGGAGGTTTTTAAGGCCCGGCTTGACAAAGCCCTGGCTGGGATGATTTAGTTGGGGATTGGTCCTGCTTTGAGCAGGAGGTTGGACTAGATACCTCCTGAGGTCCCTTCCAACCCTGAGATTCTGTGATTCCCCCATTACCCTCCAACTCCCCTCCCCCGGTACCGCCCATAGCCCCCTTCTCCCCCGGTACCTGCACGGCCCCGTTGCCGAACCCGGCTGCCAGGCACCGCCCGGCCGGCGCGAAGCGGAGGCTGTAGATCCCGTGTGGGTCGCTGCTCAGCGGCAGCTGGTGCCGGATGCGGAGCTGTGCGGGGCCCCGGGCCGCCTCCTCCCGCTCCCTGCCGCGCGACTCCAGCAGTGCCCGCTCCAGCCGCCGCCGCGCCATGGGGGCTCCCCCCCACGGGGCAGTTACCGGGGTCACGGGGCGACGGGCAGCGCGGGGGGGGGCGGTTACCGGGGTCGCGGGGCGACGGGCAGCGCGGGGGGGCGGTTACCGGGGTCGCGGGGCGACGGGCAGAGCGGGGGGGGGCTGGTTTCCGTGGTTACGAGGGTCCCCCTCCCCTTTGTGTCGCTTCCACCGGGTCCCGGGGTTGAGTCAAACTGTTTCCATGGCAACAGCTTCCGGAACCAGCCTGCTGATTGGCGGAGCCAGCCTCCCTTCACGAGGATTGGTCGAGTGCTGAGCCCCGCCCCCATGTTCTTCTGATTGGCGAAAGGATCCGAAGCGGCGCTGCGATTGGCCCGAAAACCCCGTGTCCAAGGGGGTCGCGAGGCCACGATTCAGTCCCGGGATCCCATCGATGGGGACCCACACGGGGTCAGAGGTCGCGGTCATAGGCCTCATTATTACAGGGGGGTGTATGGGGGGTAAGGGGGGGCAGGGGTGTATGGGGCTTAGAGGGGGCAGGGGGTGTATGGGGGTAAGGGGGTGTATGGGGGAGGCACCCATGGAGGGGGCAGAGGTGTATAGGGCAGATGCCCAAGGATGAAGTGGGTATCAGGGACGGGGTTTAGGCCCTTTCCTATCTGTGGCAGGC